TGGCCCAACGGCTCTGAGTTTTCGGGAAAATTTAAAAAACAGGTCAAAATTCACAAAAAACGTCATTTACGATCGACGAAAGTTATAAAAAATCAAATTATTCTACCNCCCATGTATTTCCACGTATTTTTTTCCGGTGAATCCGAATCTGCCTTCAGATTTGGCCCAACGGCTCTGAGTTTTCGGGAAAATTTAAAAAACAGGTCAAAATTCACAAAAAACGTCATTTACGATCGACGAAAGTTATAAAAAATCAAATTATTCTACCAGCTCACTTGACGTATGATTTTTCACTCGTTTAATTCCAACTTATCATCATAGAGTCAGACAAGCTGGCCCAATTTCATTCAAAAACAGAAAATATATCAAAATGCTTTAAAACGCCATTTTCATGGCATAATTCGTGTTGCAGAGTTCTGGATCTATCTTTTTATCCACCCACCCATTTATGAATTCATACATCTTTCTATCCAATCGTTCATGCATGAATACGCATATTTATTCATCCACCTGTACCACCTATAAAACCCACCCATCCACCCATCTATCCATCTACTATTTGTGCTGAGAGATGAGGTAACAGCCTAGAAGATTGAGAATGCAATAAAACTTGTAGAATACTCTACTTTCTAAACAAAAGAAAAAGATATCTACAAATCATTCTTATTTTTGTTGCTATAACGTATTTTCTTTTCTTCAAAGGATCTATGTATAGGGTTACACTTTCGTTTAGTCCCTCTATTTTCGTTTCTCTTTTTAGCAACCAACAAAAATCGGCCATCATGTTTTCATCCCATCTTCCTTGATATCGCTGTTCTATAACCTTCATATCCTGATGAAATCGTTCGCCTTGTTCTTCGCTATAATCTCCAAGATTTTCAGGAAACCAATCCAGATGTGAATGAAGAAAGTGCAACTTGTAGTTCATCAAACATCCCAGATCTTGGTCTTTTATCATTTTTGAAACAATTTCTTCGCATTTAGGACTCTTGTTGTTTCCTAAAAAAATTGTCGCCCTATATATATAGGGCGAAAATTTCCGAATATTTCTGAGGCGAAATTGAAAGAAGGTGTATTCGATGGTCCTCAGATTCGGACATTGTTCAAGGATGCATAGAATGAGTAGCGTTGAGAAGAGTGCTTGGACTAATTTTTGCTTGCATTTTGATTTATTTTTTGTTTTTGAATGAAATTGGACCAGCTTGTCTGATGATGAAAAATTGGAATTAAACGAGTGAAAAATCATACGTCAGGTGAGCTGGTAGAATAATTTGATTTTTTATAACTTTCGTTGATCGTAAATGACGTTTATTGTGAATTTTGACCTGTTTTTTGAATTTTCCCGAAAACTCAGACCCGTTGGGCTAAATCTGAAGGCAGATTCGCATTTAGCGAAAAAAAAAAAAAATACATGCATGGAAATACATGGGTCTGAATACCAGATCCGATCCTTTTTTTTGTGGGGCTGTGTTATTGATATCATTATTAAAAAATAATTTGATGTCACGATATGTTTAGCAATAATTATAGTTATAATTCGGGTACGAATTTATTTCAAAAACGAATGAATGTAAACTAATCTGGAAAAGCGGGAAAACCTGGAAGTATCGAAGAACCTCATATATCTGGACTGTCAGGAAAATAACAGAAAATATCTCTGATTTTTCTGGCTATCAATACCTATACATACAGTAAAATGTTTCTTATTGTTTGAAGTTGTTTAATTGTCGCGTAATTTTAGATTTTTCTGTCTGTGTGAATGTTTTAATACTCTGAAATAGATTAAATTAAAGAATTTTAATTTTATCATATGATGGAATATCCAAATAAACAGAAAAAATACGTTTCTTTGTATAACATATTCAAATTTGCGTGCGAATTTTAATTTAAATAAGCGAAAAAATTTCCTGATTAGAATATTACACAAACTCCCTAGTTTTATTTTACCCACCCCCATAATCCTGAATGAATCCAGTTCACAGTAATTATTCTTTCTTATAAAAGGTAATAAGTTAAATATCTGAATAAATAATATAAAATGCATTTGTTTGTCTTTAGCTTTAAATATATAAATTTCGGAAACTAGTCGTCTTGATCTATATACCACCTGATCCATGATATTTAAAATTTAGCCAAAAATTCTCCATATTTTTCGAAAAATATATATTTTTTTAATTTTAAGTTCATTACTGTAATTTTCTCGGAAACTAAATAAATCTCCCCCAGTAAATCAAATTTACTCTTGGTATTTAAGTAAAAATGATTTAATTTTTTTTTTTTTATAGACAGCAGCAACTGTATAATTTTTGAAATAATCATATTTATGTTAAATATTTGTATGTGAAGCATACAGACAAAAAATGATGATGATTGAAAAAACTAATATAGAGCTTATAGTGTTCTGGAGATTTTTTGAAATCTACCTGAAAACCTGGAAATATCAGGGAATATTTTTGTCAAAATTTGATATACAACCTGAACATGCAGATAAACTCATTTTTCTAAAACCTTTACTGTTTCATTATAATAGTGAGATTAATTTGGAATATCTTAGAAAATAAAAAAATATTATTGCTAATTGACACATTTAATTCAGGTAAGTAAGTCCGTGTATATAAAAAACAGGTATATGTACATTATGTACATATTTGTGGATAATTATTATTATTAGTTTGACTAAAATCGCTCCATCTGTTTTCGTTTAATTTAAAATAAAAGGCATCTTTTCAAGATCTTTATCACTATTCTCTCGAAATTGAAGCATTTTAAAATACATAGAAATATGATGTTTTTATTTCACAGTTTGGTGCATTATAAATTAATGAAAAAATTAATTTACATATGTTAAAAAACTGGATATTTAACCTTTAGGTCGTTTGGCATTTTGAATTTAAACTTGTTCTGAACATATTAGCTTCGGAATTTGTTTTTTCTTGTGTACCATCTCCGTGTCAGTTTCATTAAAGCAGAAAATAATAACATAAATACAGGGTTACAATTTTATAATTGTCCTATACAGGTATTTTTCTTATTTTAAGAGTTACATAAATGGTTAACGGGGCAAAAATGTGCAAAAACCCTGTAGGTATGTATATTAGGGTGGCTCAAAAAAAAAAAACGGATGTATATTTTTTTTCAAGTCTTGCGAAAATATGTCAGTTTATCATGTTTTAAGAGCTCCCTCAAAAAATCAGCTCAAAAAAAATTATTTTAGAGGTCGTTCAAGATTTTTAAAAATTTCCAAAATCGTCAAAAATTTATTTTTTTTTAATTTTTTTTTCTCCTTATTTTATCATTTCTAGATTGAAAAAAATCTCGATTCTGAAAATTTCAAATCGATATTTTAATTTCTAAAGGTCACTCATAATTATTTTAGCTTTAAAAGTAGTGTACCTAAAATGTTTTCGAGCGACCTCTAAATATAAATATCAACGAACTAATAATTTGTTTTATTGAATGTAATGAACAAAAGAATAGAAATAAATCACGAGACACTTAAAAAACTTATCGAGGCAAAATTTACTACCGCACTGTGAATATCAATAATTTATAATTTTTTAATTTTTTAAAATTTAAGTGTCGTGATTTATTTCTATTCTTTTGTTCATCTAATTCAATAAAAAAATTATTAGTTCGTTGATATTTATTTTTTAGAGGTCGTTCGAAAACATAGGCAACCTACTTTTAAAGTTAAAATAATTATGAGCGACCTTTAGAAATTAAAATATCGATTTGAAATTTTCAAATTCGAGATTTTTTCAACCTAGAAAATGATAAAATAACGAGAAAAAAATAAAAAATAATAATTTTTGACGATTTTAGAAATATTTAAAAAATTTGAGCAATCTCTAAAAAATTTTTTTTGAGCCGATTTTTTGAGGGGGCTCTTAAAACATAAACTAACATATTTTCATAAGAGACACGAAAAAAATATTCGTTTTTTTGAGCCACTCTAATGTATATACTTACATATCTAGTATTGAATATTGTTTATATTCAGGGTGTATCTAAATAACACCGAAAAAATTCAAGGGGCGATTCTCCGATGAAAATTAATAGGGGTCTTTGGTATAAAATTTTTTGAAAAAACCCTCCCCTGAAAAGTTACGCCCCTCCTAAAATTTCAAAAAAAAATGTTTTTCTTTTTTATCTTCCAAGTACATCAAGCTAAACAAACCAAACTTGGTGAACATTATCTGTCAATAAAACTACACTTTTTGAAATTTTTTCAACCCTGAACTATTTTTGTAAGGGGTTGAAATAATCAACCCCTATGACATTTTTTCTTATAATTTTTTTTT